GTTGAATGCTCCAGAGTAACTAGTCATTCACAGACGCACCACACAAAGTTCAACCCCCGGCAGTCCCTCTACCTACTCTGCCATTGAAACCTTCTACCTGCCCTACGGAGCCGGAAGCCTCCATGGTAACGTTTTGGATATGACACTGTCATGTGAGTCAGACCACACCGAAACACACATGACTAGTTCTTAGTGACTGAGAAAGAGTACTACCAGAGGCATAGTATGTCAATAACAACTCAAAGATCGAATGTCCCAAGTCTAGAACATACCAGTCAAAGATGTTGCATTGGAAAGTTTCAGTAGGAAGATCTGTGTGGCAGTTTTCAGTTTTTGAGTGTGTAGTAAGTATGTGTATTAGTGAAATATATACATTTGTATATACTAAGAAAAATATTTTTGATGAGAAACAACAGAGGCCCACCCTAGTTTGTTTTTTAACATTGCTGTCATACAGTCATATAGGCTGTTAGCTTGACATTGTATAAATACAATCTATGGAATTGAATCCTACTCATGCAGTGGTTGGGTTTTGGACCATAGGTTGGTGGGCATTGAAGATCAACCACCCAGCGAGATCGGTCTGAGCACAAATGAACCTGGTCAGAATTTGTGGTTGCCAATGTTGACGGCATCCTCCGGCCTGTCCTACCCAAGCATCTCCGCTGGACGGAGAGACTCCCCGTCATGGACACACATGATTTCTCAAATGCGAAGTGCCAAACTATTTTTCCTTTCTATCTCTCCAGGTATAACTGTCCACAAAGACTTCTATTAAGCACTGTAAACAATACACTATCCAATGGAGGGATATCACTCAGATCATTGCTGCATATCCACATTGTGAGCTTTTCAGATAAGTTTTTGCGTTGTTTGATTCAGGGGAGCGACAGGAGGGCAGCGTGCTCCTCTTTCGGAGGAGTGGAACCAAGCCCTGTAAAAACCAAGGGACAATCTACTGGACCCCGTCACCTCTGAGACCTACTGGCAGATCGGAGTTCAAGGTCAGTGCTTTTCATCGCAAATCATTAGTAATGTTTAAATACTCAAATGATCCTTCCCATCTTCCCGATTACTTACTTCAGTGCTTAGCTTGTCAGCGTTCCGAAATACTGCAACATTGTTTTTACTTTTGTTGTGCTTTGGCAGATTCGAGATCAATGGTAGAGAGACCGGCTGGTGCTCTCAGGGCTGCCATCCAATTGTGGACACTGGAACCATCCACACTGACAGCCCAAGCCAGCTCATTGGTAACTCATGCAGGCCATCGGGCTCAATCAGAGCCTAGTATGGAATGGTAAGACAAATGAACAGACAACAGACACCTCTCAGTTGGAAGAAGTTAGGAAAATAAGCCTGTATAAATTGGCCCGGTTTGGTTTTAGTTTCTGTCTCTTCTAATAATAATATAATAATACATTTATTTGTATAGCACCTTTCATGCACAAACAATATATTAAAATTTGTATCTAGAGAACAAGATACAAACATCTACAGTGATCCTAATGACATTCCGTGAATTAAAGCTGACAAGAAATTTAAAATATCTTTAAATACAAAAAATAAGGGCCTTTCCTGGAGCTCAATACGCATCTCGGGCCTGCCCAACAAGAAATAATAATATTTAATAATATTAATAAATAAATATAAATAAATAAAGGAAATAAGCCTATGAAGAAACAGAAAAATAACAGTAATAATATGAAAGAGAATTCAAATGGGAAATGGATGAATAGGTGATTAATCAGAAAAGGAAGAGATGTGTGGCGTGTAATATATAGTATACTACTATATTTGTATTTAATTTGAGCTATTATCTATTTATTTACCTTTAAGACAATGAAGTATACGTATTAATTCATGAAGCAACATCATGTATAAATACAACGCCAGTATGCATACATGAAATGTAACTGACACTGTAATCCCCCTACCCCCCACCCTTCATGTTATTGTCCAGATCCTATTCGTGATGTTGTGTCGAGCGCATGTCCTTAAATGTAAACAAATTAAAATGTTGAAAAAAAGAAGGAAAAAAAAGAACAGACAGAAAGAACACAGTAAAAGCATGACAATGATACCAGTGAGAATTGAAAGTTAACCCAAATTAAAAGCCATATTAAAAAGATAGGTTTTTAATTCGCTTTTAAACATTTCACGGGAGTTTGCTGTTCCATAGTTTAGGTCCGTAACAACAGAACGCAGCCTCCCCAGATCTCTTGTGTGATACCCTTGGAATTTTCTAAAAGCAATTCTAATATCTCTCTGTTCTCTTGATCTTCAGTACATGGTGGACTGCAGCCAGGTCAACAACCTGCCAACTCTCAGCTTTGTTATTAGCGGTGTTGCCCTCCCTCTGGCTCCTTCTGCTTACATCAATCAGGTAAGTTACTACATGCATGCACTCAATAGGCATGTATTTGTGTGTGTGTGTCTTTTTATTTTGTTTATTAGCAATGTAATTAACCTTTCCCATCTCCTGTCTCCGCCTACAGCGCTACCAGAATGGAAACCAGTTCTGCACTGTGGACATCGCCCCCACATACCTGCCCTCTCATAACGGCCAGCCCCTGTGGATCTTTGGGGACGTGTTCCTCAGAGAGTACTACTCCATCTACGACCGCACCAACAACCGCCTCGGCTTTGCTTCAGCTGCCTAAAAGTCATCATTTTAACATAACTATAAACCTAACCAGAATATAAGGAGTGTGTGTCCACTCGACCACTGCTTCTGATATATTGGTGTTAATATATAGTTAAATCCCAGTGGTATGTTAAAATAAAGTTGATTTTGTGTATTAAAAACTAAAATAAAGGAAAATCTGAACATTAAATAATACATTTTGTTCGAGTGCTTATCTGCTGCTGAGTGTAGGAGGTCTCTGCAATGCATGTCAACAGAGTGTGGCCCCAAGCTGCACAGAGTACCAACAACAGCAAAGGCCTCAGTCCTTTCCTTGAAGAGTTCAAACATTTGACTGATCCCATATATTATTTGTTATTACAATTGTTTGTCCCTTTCTAAAATATTCTGTGATATTTACATTTCAGTATCTCTATCACATGAGATACAGCCACCTGTGCAGTGTCTACATTACAGTTCCTGTCACACCATGCTGTGTACCGCTTGCTGCTTATCCGACAGCACACCGTGACTTCCTTTGCATTTAGCCCACCTCTGCTTGGGATCATTCTTAATAATAGTGATTTGAAGCTAAGGCTTACCCGTCATGTTCCTCTCCATACTAAGAATCATACCACTTGCATGCAGGAAAAGAGCCATTGGTCTCTACCTATTCTGAATTGTGATATTGCTAAGCAAGACGACAATCCTACCACAGAGGACTCTCAGGCAGGGGGGGAGTGTGTGGGAGAGAAACTCCTTCTGGAGGGAACACAGGGGTTGTAGCCTTTACAGACCATGCACAAAAACCTATATAACACACAACAGGGAAAGTGAAAAATCCAAAAACCATAATACAAATGTTTTACCTAGCTTGTTTTTTCCCCTAGTATCATGTCTTTTGGTTTTCTTATTGACTTATTTGTCTTTAAATCGGAACATATTCTGAAGAACTCAGTGGTCGGACATTAGAATACAGATGACAGTGAATCCGGGTGTCCGTACCTCAGGTTTCAGACGGACATGCTCCGGCAGACTCTGGTTGGTGATCAGCAGCTGTTGAAACTTCTTATTCAGCTCAGCCAGCTTCTTTCGCTTCGCTGCGATCTTAAGCTCCGCCTCTCGTCGCTGACGGTCCTTATCCAGCTTCTGCTTCTCTGACTCTATGCTGGAGGGAACACAAAGTTAGATGAGTGATTTCATGACATTCTTGAGTTAAAGCCCCTTAAACCCCCAATAATGTAAAAACAATAAGGAAGCCAAATGCAGTCGGTGTCAACTTTCCGAATGACTTTTCAAAACAGAGAAAGATACAGATATATTGAAAACAAGAATGATCAACAGATCATTCGCGCTCACCTGCAGGCTGCTGGGTCCTCAATATCCTGGGCTAACGCCTCATTCTCAAGGCCCACCTGTTTGAATAACAAGACATTATACTTTTTTATATAACAATCCGTTTGCACCATAAACTGTTTGTTTTCTTGCAACAAATCTGACCTATGTGATGACCTCAACAGTCAAAGTCAACTTTTCCAAATGTTTGACACAAGCTAGGGAACACAAGGACCCCGGGCGTTCATACAAATAAGAAACACACATTTCGTAGCAATCCATTCAAATCGGTGGACAGACTGACAAATTTCCTTTTTGATAAGGCTTATAGTTAGGGCTGGATCAGGCTTACCTTGAACCAGACCCTAGTTATGCTGCTATAGGCATACGCTGTCGTGGGACTTCCACCTCTCTTCTCCTACTTCTCTCTTGTTATCTCTATGCACTCTTGTCCTCTCTTCACTTCTGGACCATGAGTCGTGGCTGTTGCTCTGGTCCTGCCTGAAGCCTACCTTATTATTTTATAGTGGTGTCTGGACGATTGTTGACATCCTCCTGGATCCGACCATTTTTTTTGTATACTCATATTACCATTTTTGTCCTTTTGGATTGTCTATACAGTATTGTCTATGTTGTCTATTCAAACCATATCTATTGCTGTCCCGTTCCGGGTGTTTCTACAAATTATTTTCTATTCGCTGCAGGGTTTTTCCGGGGAGTTTTTTCTTTGTGCACTCGGATCTAAGGATATAGAGTGTCATTTGCTGTACACACCGTAAAGCCACCGAGGCAAATGTAAAATGTGGGATATTGGGCTATTTAAATAAAATGTGATTGATTGAGTAGGGTTAGACTTTATCATCTGTAGCACACTGTTTAAAGTCTTAGTAAAGTGTTAGTAACGTGTAGACTGACCCTGGGTGAAGGAACATTTGCCTTCTTCCTCTGCATGCCTTTCTTCAGCTCCTCTGGAGGGAGCAGGCTGAAGGAGAAGAAGTTCCCGTCGTCTCCCGCCGTCAGCACCAAGAGGTCGTCATAGCTACAGCGGATGTGCCGCAGGTGTCCGTACTGGTTGTCGTGGACACTGAGAGCCCAGTAGGCCTGCATGGAGCTGAGGCTGTGGTCTCCGGGCTGCAGAGGGTAGACCCTGATGGAGCCTGAGTGCATGCCGCAGAGCAGCAGCTGCCTGTCAGAGCTGGACAACACCAACATAATACTTTAAACAGGTACTAGTAGTAATTACAAATACATCTTTATTTGTATACAGGGTATGCAGGAATCCTGAAGTCAAATGTAATTCCTTTTAAGACCTTTTTTAAGACCCTTTCCATACATTTGAAGACCTCATCGCCACTTGGAGTTTTAACCGGTTACCTTGGGGACAAACTTTACCTCACATTGACTATATACAGTATTTGATTGTCCTTCCTCCTTATCTTCCAACCATTTGGACGCAGACTTGCATTTCCCCATAACGATGTTGTTTAACAACCGGCGTAAACGGAGCTTCGCGCTATCAAGCAGTGAGCGTGCGATGTCCTGTTCAGATGACGTCAAACCCAACGGGATGCCATAAATAAAGTACACAGAATCTCACTACACACCTATGCAATGATTACATTCAGGCAGACTGTAGAATACAACCTCTTTTTAATACTTTTTAATAGCCTTAATTTTCGCTAAATTGATTTATCAACTTTTAATACATTTTAAGACCCTGCGGACACCCTGGTATAGCATTTTATATACACAGGATGCAGCTCAAAGTGCTTTAACATTTTGTTAAACAACATAAGACAAACAGACAATAAGACTTTAAATTCAAGGGTTAGGGTCAAAGGTTAAAAGCTACTAGCATACATGAAGCATATTTTCATGATACATATGACTCCATGGATTACAAGAGGCCAAAATAGATAAATACAATAAAGTAATCCATAAATGAACTTAAGAAATAAGACTAAATACAATGAATTAAAGAAATAAGACCAATAGAAGAGCAAAGTTGCTATTTAAAAGCTAATTTAAAAAAATGGTCTTCAGCTTTTGTTTAAAAATGTCGACTGAGTTAACCTCTCTAATATTTCCTGGTAGGATGTTCCACTTTTTTGGAGCGTAGTGGTTGTTAGCTGCTGAAACTAGCTGTGATAAAGGTCTGAGCCAGGCAAAAATCAATAAAGCTATGAGCCAAAAGAGGTGGAAGCTACTAGCAACTTTCTCACGTTGCATTTAGGTCTTTGAATCATTGTTGAAATATAGAATATTGATCAGTGGACCTTCAGTATACCTGAAGGTGAAAGAGCGAATGGGGTCGTCGTCTGCGTTGAGGACAGGCAGGAAGTCAAAGGGCTCGTCCTGCCGCTGCAGAGGGTCCTGGTCCTGCTCCTCAGAGAACTGACAGTGATACAGGAAACCAGAGTCATAGCCCCCCTGCAGGAGAGGGGAAAGAGAGAAGGTTGTGAACCTGTTATTGATAATACTTTTCAATCTATAGCTGTGTTTTACTATAAACATGTAGTTTGGTATTTGTACCAAAACACAGCTATAGTCTGTGTAGAGTCTACAGGGCATGTTTTCATTTCTCAACACATTATTTAAAAGTCACCTATCATGCTATTTTTAGGCAATAGCATAGGTCCCAGATATATACAAATATATAAAAAAGATGTCTATGAAGTGTTTTGCTCCGGAAGCTACTGTCTAAACTAAATACTGCCGTGATGAAACGCCATATCATGGATTATCAAGGATTCTCTCTGAACCAGTATGGAGCTCAAAGTCTTTCTCTCTTGCCGGTTATACCACAAGGTGAGTTCCTTTTGATTTCCTGCTTCTTCACACACATGCTCTCCAGTACAGGTTAGCTCTGAGTGTTAGCGATGCTAATGTAAACACCGACCATATTACGTCCAAAACAGTCGGGCATTGTTTCTGATAGCAACGTTTCTGATAGGGCCGTGGGTCCACATTTCAGATATTACGTCATATCGGACGCAAATCTGGATCAGCTCCGTTGTACCCCGTTTTTAGAGATTTGGGTACGGAGGAAAAGAGAGAGGGTTTTATTTACGACGCTGCGTGAGTTCCCCGACTCACCAGAGACACATCTTTATGTATAGAAGACATCAAAAAGTGCATTTTGCGTGATAGGTGGTCCCCTTTAAATGTAATGTTGATCTTCAGTTTCTTTTAATTGTGTGTACCATGGAGAGCCAGAAGTGGCCAGGCGATGAGTAGAAGCCGCAGTAGAGAGGACTTGGAGGCTTAGGGATGAAGATGGAGGGCAGCTCTTCCTCCACCTCCTCTTCATCTTCCTCTGGCTCTAAGTCTGGCTGCTTGGATTCTTTCAGCCTCTCTTCTCTCTCTTTCTGCTTCTTGTCCTTTGCGGCTTGTCGTCTGGCAATTTCCTGCTCTCTCTAAAAGAAAATGCAACATTTAAAACCAGTTAGTTAGTTGGTTTTATATGTTCTCCTTTTCTTTACAAGCTAATACCTCGTATGTATGTCCCATTGTGTTTATGTATTGTGTCTATGTATGTACCATTATAACCCAATTCAATTCATTTTACATTTATGTGTAAACTTACTTGCTAATAAACCTTATTCAAATTATAAATGTGTCATCATCTGTCATATTGTTTTTTATTTGTATATTTATTTCTTGAAACGAAATGTTTTTCTTAATTTTTTTTTTTTATATATTTGCTCTTTTTTTACAACTTATATCCTCTTACTGTTTACATTTAATATGACAAAACACATGTCTTGTATGTGTAAAGCTAACTTGAACTAACCCTGGTTTTGATTCTGATAGGACAACAGGTGTGTATGTACATAAACCCTACGAATGACTGATTGGAAGCAGAGGGTTCGGACCTTGATTCGAGACTTGATGCTCCTGAACCTGAAGGTTCTGCTGCTCAGTTCAGGCAGGTGGAAGGTGATGCCGGGCCTCTGGACCTCTGGGTCAGGCGGGTGCACCTCAACAACGTGACCGCTCTGACACAGGATCAGCAGCCGGTTCTCACCCTGGGGAAAACCATTAAAGAACAACAATGATCATTCCCATTAGAGAATCCTTCAATTAAAGATATTGTACAAGATTAAGGACGCTAAGATGAAAATGGTCCACAGATAATAAATAAAATAATTCTGTTGGGGAAATACTCCAGGTATAAATGTTTAGCTGTAGATAATAGCTATATAAAATATATTATAATATAATATATAAGTAAAATAAAATACAAATAATAATATAACCAGGGTTCATACACTTTTTCACCAATGACTTCTCCATGACCTTTACCTAATTTTCCATGACCAAAAAATTACTCTTTCTCAGCGGTACCACTGAAAATGGTTTATTTTAACATGGAACAGGAAAATAAGGTCTGCATATGAAACATGTATCTAAAACAAATCAAATAGTAGGCTTACTAGCTTCTACACGCTAAAGCAACTCAAATCTCTCACCAGCAAAATACCTCGTCAGTTAAATGCCATTTTACGTTTCATTACTATATGATACAGTATGTATTATCATTATAGTATTACTATTTCGGCGATTAGATCAAATGTAAATTATATTTGATGCAACTTTAGTAACATTTCCATGACTTTTCCCAAAGTTTGGGGAAAATATTGTTTTCCATAACTTTTCCAGGGCCTGGAATTAGCATTTTGAATTTCCATGACTTTTCCAGGACCTGGAATTAGCATTTTGAATTTCCATGACTTTTCCAGGTTTTCAATGACCGTAAGAACCCTGTATAACATAGAAATATTTTTCAAGCTCAATCAAGAAGCTATCTGGATTCAAGTTTTCAACAAAAAAACTTTGCAAAGCCAATTTATTTTTGGAAATAAATATAAGAATCTTTTGCTCAATCAATAACATATCCATAGATACTATATTTTGGTGCATGTGTGTCGGAGCAGACTCACGTGGGAATGAGGCGTCCACTCCAGCGCCTGCACCGGCCCGGGGACGCGCACAAAGCCGATGGGTTTGTATTTTTCCCCGACAGTGAAGAAGAAGACAGTGCTGTCGGAGCTCTGAGCCGCAGGGTGGGGGGCAGAGGGTTATGGTCAGAGGGTTTTTAACAGCATTCTTTGTTCCTGCATAAATTACCTTAAGCAAACAATGACCATTTATATTTCCTCAGGTGTTCTTGGAGAACATCTTACCCCCGTTGCTAAGATCTCTCCGTTTCGCTCATACGCCACAGCAGTTACAGGTGCTCTATGGGGCTTGAAGGCCTGTTTGAGGCGCAGCTTGGCGTCTCCTTTGGGGATTCGCCCGGTGACCACGTTCAGCCTCTGAGGGTCGTACAACTCCAGCAACCTCACAACCCCGTCCTCAAAGCCCGTGACCAGCAGACTTCCAATCTGGTTCACCTACACTCTCAAAACAGAGTTCAGTTTCCTGTCAGTACACTTCTTATGTGGTAGAATTATACATGTTTCTATTGCTTATATTATGTTGGCATAGGGATGGTCTATTATAGTGTGTTCTAACTTTATCTGTATTTTATATTGTGTTTCGATAGTGATATATATCTATAACTGTTGATATGTATATTTTTCTTTCCTACTCTATTTTATTTTTTAATTAATGTCCAATGCCTTGTTTACGATCTGCCGTGAAAATATATATTTCCCAAATTGGGTTCAATAAAGTCAAACTAATCTCATCTAATAACATGTGTGTGTGGTGTGCTGTGTGTGTGTGTGTGTGTGTGTGTGTGTGTGTGTGTGTGTGTGTGTGTGTGTGTGTGTGTGTGTGTGTGTGTGTGTGTGTGTGTATACTCTTCTAATGTCTATGATAAAAATGTTTTCGTTAATTTGTTTAAACCACAGAACTTATTTCAGGCATCTACCGATAACCAAAAACAGATAAACTGCCTTTGAGACTTGAGACTTGGAAGGGAGAAAATGCATTTCCAGATTTTAGGACTCATTCCTGCACCACTCTATGGACACACTCACCAAAGTTGGCGCCCAGCTGAGAGCAGTTCCACCCTGATTGAAGCGACTGGAGGTAAGCTCTCTTTTTGCCAGGAAGTCAAAAACTTTAACGGTACCTGGAGAAAAAGGACGGACCTGTTACGGTTTGCGTTGTCCGGAAAACTGGTATAAAAGCTTCAATGAAACTTTTTAACAAATTCTGCTTGCAATAAAAATAAGTTTTGATGTTACACTGAAGTGACAAATGTTTCCTGTTTGGAAGAAGTGTTTAATGATGAAGATTAAATAAATTGGGGCTCTTTACGACATCCTTTAGAGGAAATGTACCGCTGCGTATATCCAATCCAATTTTATTTATAAAGCACTTTAAGACCTACAGACCAAAGTGCTGTACAGAGAGATACATCAAATATAAAATCACACAGCTCACAAAACATAAAAATAAGTATAAAATCACATAAAAGATACGAACGCAAAACAAAACAGAATAAACGTAACAATTACAAAATAAAAATAAAAACAAAAACAACCATATAGTAAACACAATAGACCACTGAAAGCAAATAAAAGCTTGTTTACGAATGCTAAGGGGAAAAGGTGGGTTTTAAGACGGGATTTAAAGACAGACAGTGTGGGAGCCTGTCTGATTAGCCAGGGCAGCTCGTTCCACAGTTTAGGGGCGGCAGAGAGAGTATATCATTTGTGGTTAGATGTGTGTTATGTTACGACAACACCCTGTATGTGTGTAGGGGAGAAAGGGTATGATATTCACGGTCTAGAGTGGTCGTGGCCATCAGGTGGGATATCCTGGACACGTCCAGGCCCTGGATGGCCCCGGCGTGGAAGGAGAACAGGCACTCTGGATCAGGAGTCTGCACACAGATCACACATCAACGCTTATTTAAAGTGATAAAGCGTCTCATGGGAGTCCTCTTTGGTTTGATTTGTATCTTAAAGAGGAGATTTGCTCATTTTCAGGTCCCTATTTGTATTTTGGCGACAAATAAAAAATCACATTTTTTACCAAATGTATAAGAAAAATTGTCTTAACAGTAACAAGAAGAACCTGTTACAAGACAATTGAAATATGTGTTAACAAGGATGATAACATACTAAAGTAAGTGTATGGAACTCACAGTGTAGGTGAATGAAAGGTCCAGTTTCCAGATGGCTCCGCTGGTGTCCTATCAGGTGCAGAGATCAGGTTTGGTATTTTGATGGAGATCAGACATTACACATAGCTGTAGTTATGAGCTTCTGACTCCCCTCTGACCTGAGCGAAGCAGATGAAGGAGTCGGACGGCTGCGAGCTCTTCACCACCGAGGACAGGCACACGTTGTGTCCCACCAACAGCTCGTTCATGGGCTCCAGCTCAAACCGCCCGCTGTCACCGGTGCTGTCTGCGGTGTCGATGCTTTCAAAGTCCCAGCCCTGCAGGGGGCAAGGGGGTTACAAATTCAGACCGATTTCAAAAAAGGTGACTACAAAGAAATCAGAGTTTAGATCATCAATCCGGCTCAATAAGGTTGATAAGGATTGCCAAGAAGGGTCAATTAGCTTCAAAAAGGAACATGAAATTTCGAATTGTATGATCTTTGGCAAACCCACGTTCATGACACTTTTTTGTTCAGCAGGATCCTCTCAACATATAAACACCCCTTTACGATTTTTGAAGCGTAAATTCAATCTCGAGAGGCAAAAAGCTAACGTTGGGCAATAAACAAACTACATCGCAGTGACTTGACTTCACCACCGCTAAGCTAAAGGGGGCTAACGGTCGGTGTGATGACGTTAAGTAGTCTCATTTAGTCTCTGCACCACTCTATTATTGACACACACAAAAAAAACTACAAACAAAAGCCATTATTAATGTAGAAAAAAAGACTAAACAGTTTATTGTTAATTTAATCAGAACATTTTATGTTTTTGAAAAGATTTCTAACACGTTTGAAGAAAAACATTTTGAAGTGTCTTACCCGAACCGCTCCATCATAGCCGATGGTCATCAGCTGTCCGTCTTCCAGGGCGAACGGCTGGACCATCCCGGCGTGGCACTTCCCCCCCCCCTTACGACAAATCTCCACCTTGATGGCGTTGCCCTCCCACAGCAGCAGGTTTCCCCAATCTGAGCCGGACACCACCTGAGAGGAGGAGACGAAGAGAGGCGAGGGTCAAGATGAACTTTTACAAAATCTCCAACGCACACCAAAACAATCTAGATTGATTTGTCGCTCCACATCAATTCTGATAACTATGCCTTAACAATAATCTACCAATCATGATATGGAGGGAATTCTCTTGAAAAAATGTTATCCAATTTTTAACAGCCATAAGGTTCAGAGGAAATACTTGAATGGAAAACAGACTCATTGCGTGAGACATGAATCACAGTTTAGTGACACATCTGAGTTTCTATTGGTGTGTGAGTACACAACTGTTGGTTTGACATTTTAATGATTGAAAACTAATTCTGTAATGCTCCATCAGGTAGCAGTAAATCAATATCTAGAGAAACATGTCAGATGTTGTGTCAGAGCTGCAGGGCACACACCTTTCCATCAGGAAGATCCACGTAGCCCTTGATATCAGTCGCTGCAGTTTTCCCAAAATTTCCCATAAGCCCTTGCAATTTAAGCCCTGTGTATGTGTCGGCCATTTTCCAGAACCTGACGGAGAGGAGAAAATGTATTTTCCTCTTATTTGGAAACATTAATAACATATAATTGTCATACAACATGTAATCTTATATGCCGGTTTGGGGAGAAACTGATTACGTTTTTGTCATGGCGTGGCTCTTGGCCATAACAAAAGCGTGGAAAGGACAAGATATAAGAAAATATATTTATTACAATTACCCAACGTTAAAGGTAGGGTAGGTAAGAATGGAGAAACCAGCTCGAGTCGAGTGCGCTAGAATCTGAAAGTACGCAGCCGAAACAAATCTACCCCTTTCTTACAGAGCCCCTCCTCCAACACACACGAACGCGTACATGACCAATGAGGGCACGAGATAAGTTTGTGCACAGATGGAAGGCTGACAGGCAGGTAGGCCATCCAGTTATTTTAGCCGGGCCGGCTCAGATGATTGGTCGTGCTTCTTACAGCGCCACGGCTTCCACAGATGACATTTTTGTATATATTTTTTGTCAAAGCATTTAATGTATTCATTGCTATCGGGATGTTAAGAGCATTCCATGTGTTACAAGCAGTGTTTCTGAAGTGAATTACCTACCCCACCTTTAACACAAAAGCTACCCCAATGTGATATGTTAGTCAGTAAGATCAGTAGTGTAGATGTGGGTGTGTGAACATGGTGTGGGGCGAGGTGTTTGAATGCCAAAACGAATATAAAGGTAAGACAAAAGCATAAACGAAGTAGCTGCTCTCCCAAAACAGATGCTCTGCGGAGAGAGCGAATGAGACTCTGGCTCGAGCCTTTCACTCCTCCGGTACCGGCGGCCAGGTGCCCTCAATCAGCGCTGATATAATGTGACGAATACGGAAGGGGTCGTCACATTATCAGGGTACATTTTTTTTTTTTTAAAAGGTAAACTTCTAAATAAAGAATTATATATTACGAAGCAAATGCTTTCACATAGCAATACATGCTAAACAGTAGGAGTTACACACAGTCCTTTCTACGCTTAGGGGAAAATATGAAAGGGTGTTTTGGCTGAATCCGGACAAAGGCAGCAAATGGCTTCATAATGACATGTTTACATAAAAGATTCAAAGCCATTCTTTTTATTTTTCTTCCAGTGGGCCTAACATTGTTTTGAACAGTGCTTGAGGAGGATTCAGTACTTGATGTGTCCAGATCCTGACGATGTGAGAAGTCCCGGGTTGTATGGGGAGAAGCTGACTTGGTACACCTCCTGAGAAATGGCCTTGCAGCGCAGCATCACCTCCTCCCTCCTCCAGTCCCACAGCGTCAGCATGTAGTCGGGGTCCGCCCCCACGCTGGCCAGCAGGCTCCCGTCTTGGTTAAAATCCACAAAGCAGTACGCCCTCTCCGTACCGCCTGCAAAACATGAAAGTTAAAACATCAATGAAACATCACATTTGAAAAACTCAAAGCATCTTGGTCCCATTTACCTCTGAGGATGCAGAACGGCCGTAACGAGGGATATTCATACATTATGATGTTGGGCTGGATTCCCTTCTCTGCTACAGCGAAGCACTCTTTGCTTGGATGTGCCTTGACATACACACAACACAAATATTAAATACATTAATACCACAGTTTTTGTACATTTGCTTATATATTGATACTATTAGACTATGCTAAGGTTATGTTTGTCTTATTGAATACACCAGGTGAGAGTGCCGTAATACGTGTGCATGTCCAAGGGATTTTAAAGGGGCCCTACTATGCTCATTCTCAGGTTCATCTTTGTTTTGTGTGTCTCTACTGAAACATTTTCCCCCGCTTTAATGTTCAAAAAGAGCTCTATTTTTCTCATACTTCCTGTGTTGCAACACCGCTTTCTGAGAGATATGGTACAGAGAGAAGAGGAGAAATACAAAATGTAATTGAAAATAGATCAATAAGGCCTAACAAGAGCTATGTCTCCCTCTGGTGGTGGTTTGCGTTTAAAGACAGGTAAAAAAATGTTTGTAATCCATATCTTTTAATCTATTTTATTGGATCCTAAAATGAACTTACTGTTACAAAACCAATTTCCCCGGGAATTGTTTTTATTTAAAATTGTTATTGATTCTGAAATTGAAGTTAACCGTCTGTTTATCCTTCTCACTCCATCCCACAGACGAGCACTCTTCCCTTGAAGTGTGTACACTATCTTACCTTGATGGTGCCGATTCCTCCTCCACTGCAGGAGCGGAGGTATCTCTGCTCCTTGGTGGAAACGTCGAACAGCACGAGCAGGTTCCCGGCGATAAAGATCAGAGTGTTGTCATCCAGCAGCTGCAGGTTCCCCCTGCGCCCACTGTCATAGCCAAAGGAGTGACTGCACGCAGGACAGAATGAGGATCAAGGTCAGATTCCCTAAAGTGTCACACAACATGTACTTTCAAAAGTTGTAGGAGATGTGGTGTAACATTTAAGAACAATGAAAAAGGATACCAGAGGTGCAGGAGGTTCTCTGGGATTTCAGAGTCCGGTGTGATGTATGGTCTGGAGTGAAGTTCCTCATAATTGTAGAACTCAGAGAGTTGCTTTGATGATCCGTTTTCAGACTCAAGCTGCATCACTGGGTGTTTATCGTGAGGGAGTAAAATGTTGGAGAGGTCAAACTCCAGCAAAACTTATAGCATTGCATACAATCTTTTGTTAAACAAGGGAGAGGTTGAATAGAAATGTGGAAGCAGTTTACAGGCACCAATGATTTAACTCGTTAAATTGTTATTTGTATGTGAATCAACACATTTTTATTTTACTTTTAGATTTTACACTTCAACTGATGCTCCACTGTGGTCAGTGCTTACATACCAGCTGCTATTTCAACAGTTTACAGCTCACACACTTGGACTGTTCTCAGCAATCCTAAACTAAAATGTCTATTGCATCCATCTGCTATTTCTTAAATGACAATGCGACTGCATTACTACAAGTTAACTAACAGTGTCACTACTTGTGTTTCTTATTGACTCACTAACTAACTTAACTAAGAGTTCCTCTGACTTCAGTTTTGCATCTCACATTCACATATTTAAATGCTTCTACTTTTAGAGACATTTCATTCACTTATCTCCAGTGGTGAAATAAGTACTCACATCATTTACTAGAGTAAAAGTAGCAATATCAGAGAGTAGAAATACTCTGTTATAAGTAACACCTCTGCATTTAAATTGCACTTCAGTAAAAGTACAAGCATCAACATATACTTAAAGTATTTTAAGTTAAGGTTCTCATCTTGCAAACTCCACATGTTCATCTAAAAGTCTTTAGATAAGGCTAGGTAACGCTAGCTAAAAAAGGTGATGCTATCTGACTGTTACGTTGACGTTATACAGGAAAACTTCCACAGTTGGGCTACCTTCACCGTTATCCTGTGTAGCAGTCTCTCTCTTCTCAGTCTGTTCACCAACAGTAGTTCTGTTTTCTTCCGACATGTCCGCTGTTTACTCATCTGCTTCTCTGTTTTGGCACTCTGAAAAATAAAGAGGGCAATTTATTTTTCAAAAGTAACGTTATTTCCAACTTCACCGAACCAACGTTAAGCTTTAAACAACTCTGAATGTGAACATAACGTAAAAGACAGCGGTGGAAACTAAATTGTTAGATATTCTATATCAAAATAGCACGTACCAAAATGTTTTAACGTGAATTTTGCCTCAAATTTAACGCGTCAAACCTTTACATTTGACTGTCCAAGTCATCCGTTTAAGTTTGGGGGCGTTGCTAGGCAACAAGGTGAGTAACTCTCCCGCAAAGCATGCTGGGTAATGTAGTTCTTTCAGTGTTATCTTGGGATGAACAATGTATAACATTTCTAGACACATGGACAAATTAGATATATCCATTATTGTTTATTGAATCATTCACTCGGGTAGAAATACAACATTAAACTATGAACGTCATAACTCTGAACTCTCTGTATCCTTAGTGACGATGTCTGTACGGTGGCCGAGAGGGCAAACCATACATGTAAACATGGCCGCTCCAGGCTGTGAACGCTCTTTATACATGCCTAAAACGCCAGGAAAATTATTATTAAACACAACGTTGTTGTCGCTAATTTTTGCGTTTGTTGAGCTGATTAAAGATTTTATTGTAATGATATATATTTGTAAAGCGTGACGTCCTGCTTCTTTACGGCGTTAACATGCTGGCAGCGCATCACCCTACGTTTTACGGCAGCAAAGCTTCAGTTTGGTTGGATAGTGTGGTGCCGTAAACCGTGTTGGTCGCAGAACGCATGGGACTGAGCTGCGATAGCGTGTGTGTTTATTTGAAATGTAAGTCACCAGTAAAATGTTGTATATCCCGTTTGTTGTTCGTGTTTAAAGTAGAGATAAACAAAAAACCGTGGCGTAGGGTTGTATGTATTTTATAAAAGATGTGTTGACAGATATTGTTTATGCTATTAGCTATGTTAACTAGCATTGGCAAAACTAGCAACACCTTTTAAACGTTATCCAAGTGAGAGAAAACAAACCAAATTGAAGAAATATGCAGCATTAAACGTGACAAATAATTAATACCAGCTACATTTTCTTGAGTATTGAAGGATAAAGAAAAAGTCAGTCTTGAGATATTCGTTTTCCTGCAAGTTTTGTACGAATACTTAAGTTTAAGATACTCCTAGCGGTAAAATATTGTGATATTGATTTTGAAATGTGTCATGGAAGTGTTTAATTTCTGCAGATAGTTCACTTTATGTAGACTAACTGCTCACTCAACAGATAGGCCTGGAAAAATGTGTGAGTGTGGGATTGTGCATTATTTCTGTATATTTAATCTGTCTTCTGCTGCTGTCTTCTTGGGGTATAACTTTAGAATGGAGGCTAAATCGAAGAAACCCTTTTCTCCTAAAGGTGGAAAGAAGTTTACACAGAAAGGAAAAGGTGAGCTCTAGTTAACATTAACCAGCTATACAGCATCACTTTCAACCAGGTTTGTCATTGACATGTTTCACTTTGTCTAGATTCAATGGGGACCAAACTTGGAGGAAAACCGGCTGGTAAGAAGCCCTTCAAAGCGTATGACAACACAGGGGGCAAACCGTGGAAGGGTGGAAATGGCGGAAACAAAGACTACAAACCTGCTTTCTCCAAAGCTGGGCCTGGTCCGCAGAAGAGAAAAATGCCATTTAAGGCGAAAGACGAAGGCGAAGGTGAGGAAACCTCTACATGCTGACTTTAAAAAGATGTCAATAAGGTTTTGCATAATTTAGTCATTTACTTCTCATGGCTTAATTGAAGGGGCCCTATTATGCTTATTTTCAGGTTGATATTTAGTGTCTCTACTGTGACATGTCTCCATGCTTTAATGTTCAAAAAGCTATTTATTTCTCTTATACTTGCCTGTGCTGTAGCACCTATTTTCACCCTCTGTCTGAATCCAGAGCCCAGTCTGCTCTGATTGGTTAGCTGGCTAGCTCTGTTGTGATTAGTCAACCGCTAAGAGATGTCCTGCCCCTTAGTCTTTCAAGTACAATGTGTTGGAGCTAGCCAATATAAGTGAGAGTGTTACGTAGTGATGTCACTCTCCCACAAGTAAACATGGAGTTATAATTGCAGTTCAAGTAATATATTTTATATATCTTTAGCAAAGGGATATCAATCATTAATGCTGCACAATTTGGGGAAAATATCTGAAATTTTTTTTTGAATGGTATAAAGATTACTAAATTGGAAGAATTTATAATTTTTAGATATATTTAAAAATGATCAGGGTGTGTTTTTAGTAAGATATATACCAAACAAATGCATTTTTTTAAATACTGTTTTGTAGGCCTGGAAATCTATGAAACACCACAAAACCTAATTCATCATATTTTCACATACTTTGCCCGTAAAAAAAATTGTGCCTTCCGTGATTTGAATATTGCAGTAACCAATATTGTGATGTTGATTTAATTGTTTGACCATATTAATAACATGCACATGGACTTTTGATTAGTTGCTGTACACATTGCTCCGCTAAAAGCAGTATGGTAAAGCCTTCAATTCTGTTCCTCTGGATTCAGCCTAAATATTACTGTTGTTTATCACCGAAGTGTGGACACATTGTGAGTGTTTTCTGCGTGTGATCAGGCCCAGAGGCCAAGAAGTTGAAGGATGGCGAAGTTAAGCCAAACACAGAAGGGCTGACGGAGGAGGAGATCAAGAAGAACAGGCAGCAGGCGAAGAGGGATCTGAAGGACAGCAGGCAGCACGCGGAGAGGAAGGACATGTTCGATATCATCCGTCAGTGCAAACGCCTGTGGGGCGACCTCAGGAGGTACAACCACACAAGGGCCAGAACATATTAATAGTAGATGTAATATGCCTGTTCACTGACAGACGATGATGGTGGTGTGTGTGTGTGTGTGAACAGGAAGAATTGTGACAAAGAGCTGAAGACCAAACTGATGGGGGAGCTTCACGATCTGGTCCGCGGGAAGATCAAGCAGGTGAGCCTCACTCTGCCTCCCTCAGGAACTACAGGGCTCATTAACAGAATCCCTTGAAACATGTGATGTCGGCTAAATGACTGCAGATCGCCTGTCAATCAAAGAGTTTGGAACATAAGTGTTTTAAGATTTTATTTGGATGCACTTTATTTTAGTCCTACTGCCAGGTGCCGTTCAACCGGTAGACATATTCCCCTTTTTTGTTACAATTTTTTTTTAAACCTGCGGCCGGATAATTATACTTTCTTGGACTTGCCAAGTTAATAGCTGAGATTTGATGACACAGAGACACGTTTAAAATGGTCTAATACAGGGGTCGGCATCTTTTTGATATGAAGTGCCATTTAAAAAAAAAAATTGTTATCAGCGTGCCAACGATCGAGAACTATCAATGGGG